ATAATTGAATAATATATTCAAAACGTAAATAACAATAAGAAATATATATAAAAATAATTATAATTAATATAATTAATAATTTATTGTATATTTGTGATAGTTTGGAATCAAAATTTTGTGTAGTTCCTTATGCAGATAATAAGCTAGTAAAAAATCAGTTTAGAGTCTACTTCAGTATATTAAATACTTTTAAATCAATTGCTTAAAATTCTTTTTAAACGGTGTTTATTATATTCAAACAGTTGTTAAAGTAAATAAATTATGTTATTTATCTAATTAAACTACAAGTATTAATTTAAAAAGGGTAAACTAATATAATTTTGGTAAACAATCATAAAATGTAAATATTTTAGCAAACAAAATTTATTATAATTGAGTTTAAATTCTATTAACTTTCCGAATATATATTTTTACTGTATTTAATATACACATTTGTAATTAAAACTGCAATTGAAATACTAAAACTTTGATTTAATTATGCAAAACTTTTAATAAAAGTTAAATACAAAAAACGACCATAATGAAAAAAATGTGAAAATGTAGAAATTATTTATCACATTTTGCTGCCATATAAACAAATTAATTAGTGAAATATAATTCATAAAAATAAAATAATAACATATTATTGTATGCTTGTAATAAAACGAATAATAAACAATCAACAATTTAGTTACAAAAAATGATACATTTTTTATTAATAAATAAAATATAAACAAACATATATATGTATTCACACATGAACTGAAAATATTTTTATGAAAAAATAAAAATTATTAGCAAAATATTATTGTAAAGCAAACATGTCACAGTGTTAAAAATGTTGCCATACATAAATTTTCAATAGTGAAACATATAAACAATATTTTTTATTTATTTTAATTTTATTTAATTTATGAATTATTTGAATTGGATACCTGCACAATTGGCCAAAACTAAACCAACGGATTTTTTAATAAAAGTTCCCACCACTAAAAAACACCAAACTCTTTTTACGAACATTTGCAACACTACCACATCATGGCTAATTTAAACAATTCGACTCTCATGCTGCTGAACAATTTCGTCGCTGCCCATACCATCAGCAGCAATAACAAAAACGACGATTATATTGACTTTTCCACCAGCAGCAGCTTCACGACGAGCAACAGCAATAGCAACAGCAACCCGAACACAACATTTTCGGCGATCAAAAATGACACGGAATTTCTTGAATTCTATGGCGAAATACAAAGCCTCGTATCCATAATTGTGCCCATCTGTTTTGGCATCATTGCAGTGACTGGCTTTTTTGGCAATACTTTGGTTATTTTAGTGGTGCTACTGAATCAACAGATGCACTCAACAACAAATCTGTTGATTGTAAATTTAGCAATTGCGGATTTATTGTTTGTTGTCTTCTGTGTGCCATTCACAGCTGCAGATTATGTTACAGATATTTGGCCTTTCGGAGATCTCTGGTGCCGTATTGTGCAGTACCTAATTGTGGTGACGGCGTTTACAAGCATTTACACACTGGTTTTGATGTCAATAGATCGATTTTTGGCTGTGGTACATCCGATACGATCACGCATGTTACGCACAGAGAAAATAACCAAAATTGCTATTTTTACCTTGTGGACGGTGATACTGATTATATCGTTGCCAGTACCAATGGCTCATGGAGTGTTGGTAAGTAGAAATATTTCAGGAGAACAAAGAAATTGAAAATTACACATAATTAAATTTAACCTGCATATGTCGCTACGTCCCACAGAAAACAATTGATTACATTTGAAAATTAATGAGACTTCAATAGTTTCTTGCAGCATTTCAGCAATATTCTTTAAGACCTCGATTGAGTTGGGTTTGGTAATAATAATCATTATATTAATAATTAAAGAAATGGGAAGTACTATATACGGCGATACAGATGGTATTTTGTGAGAACCCCAGTTATTGTAATCGATCATCAAGCTTTTGATAAATTTGAGCATATTTACAAATCTACTAATGATTAGTTTCGGACCTTCATAGAAAATCTGTTTCAACATTTCAACATTCAGTTTACAAAAGTGGAAGATATTGGACTCTGAAAAGACCATTTTTGTTAGATGGTTTTAGGTTAAAAAGGTTAAAACTGGTTTCAAAAAGCCTCAATGCCTCATTTTATTGAAATGGGCCCTGTCAGAAACTAGGTGAGAATATTGATATGCTCTCTATTTACGATAGAGTGTAAATTAGAGACTTTTCTAGATCATAAAATAAATTTCGTTGTCTTCTTAGTTTACTTAGTAGTTGCTGAGTTGCGTCTCTTTCCAGTACTTAAGGTTTTCTATTATGTGCCATTTCGCCATAGCTCAAGTTTAATTAATTGACATTAGACTTTACGTTTAGGAAAACCATTAGCCTTTTTGCTGCTTACACGTTTCGCTGCCTACACTTGCTACAAGATAACATGATTATCTGGCATGAATATTGACGAAATTTAAGGTCAGTAAGTCTATTTAAGGTCTATTTGTCTAAAGAGAAAGATAAATAGATGGCAAATAATTTTGTTTGGAAAGGAATTAGAAATTTGTCCATCGATAAGGGTTCTTGGAAACAAGATCTGCTTTAGTGTTACCATCTTCAAGATTAGATTTATCTATCAGATATCGACAGGGATTAAATTGATTTTAAATTTCTTTACTAAATTCTATTTTTTTTTGGAAAATAATGATATGATATAAGACATCAAATACTATATCCGATGTATACAAATGATCCAGTCTTCTCTAGAATCAGAAATGATTCTTCTGTGTGGTATTAGAAATGCATATATTTAAACACTATTAAGAATTGTTGCTTTAATAACATTTTTTAACAGTTTTTTTACAGCAACTGCGGTCAGAACGCAAGTGGAACCACAAAAGTATCTTCCAAATTTGAGAATTTCGGTAGATAGTTTATATTTCTGTCTGGATTCATGAAGCTGTTAATTGATTTGAAAGTGACAGACGCTTCTCAGATTTGAAATTACTTTATATGGAAGCTACTAAATTAGAAAGTATTGAACGTGCTAAACATAAAAGAAATTTAAATTTCAACAAATTTTTTTATGTTGGCAACCCTAAACTAACCCTAAATTAAAATGTTATAGTCTATATTCCACTCCTTCGTATACTTACAGACCGACTTAGCGATACAGAAGAAATTTCGACTTAAAAAGCTTTTTGAAATGTTAGTAACCTTAAACATTGACCTTAAGGGTAAAAAGCAATTTTTATGTGTTTTATATTTGTAGTTACTTTTTATGTGTTTTTTGTCAGTGTATATTGTATATAAGGAGTCATTATATAAATTTCATTATAGCAAATAAAAATTAATATAAGAAATAATATTAAAAAAGTATTATAGTAAAAAAGTTGAAAACCTAAGAAGTAGTTGTAGATGTACAACTTTTTGCCGATTCAGTTATTGTTTCTATTTTTCTTATTGTTTCTAATATCGCAATTGAAATCTCATATTAAGTCGTTATATAATAAATTTGAAATTCGGAGTCCTTTTTTAAGTTTATATTTCACTTAGAAATTTACAAAAATATTACTCTGCTTTATAATAATGACATTTTTCTTGACTTCAACATTTAAATAGATAATGTTCAGTACTTTTTATTTTGCGAGATACATAAATACTTTATTCTTTTTAATTATTTTTAAATACTTTAAAATTGTTTAAAATTTTCCACAAAATTTGTTAAATTTTTATCTTATTTTTAATAGCACATATGTTTTTTTTTATTTTATTTTTTTCATTTTTCTTATCGGTGTATTTCATTTATAATTTAAGACATAATATATTTCGTTCAAGTACCAATACGACCTTTCCTAGCTAACATCGAAGAAGAAATTCCTCAATTTATTGCATTCAATCATCGACACCTTGTTTAATAACACAATAATAAAAAATAAAACAAAAATAATTAAAAGGTGTAAAATTCACCCACTCAAGCAATTTGCTAATTTTAATTGAAAGCTTGTATAAATAGCAACAATTTCCACTCAGTGTATCTTGTATATTTAAAAAAAAAATTATAATAATTAAATTTGAAAAATTTATGAGAAGATGCCCCTTGGTGATTCAATTATATTATATGCTCTATTATATAGTATATATTATTTTTAAAAGCTGTGAAATGATTGAGCACATGAAAAATGAGATCGAAGCTTGCAAAAATATATCATCTATATACATACGCACATAGGTCTCTGATTGATAAATGGTTTTCAACCGAGAAAAATCGCTACTGGCGCTACATTCCCTACGCTTATTGTAAGGTATTCTTCTTCAGCAGAACAGAGTAGAAGTTGCAAGCGGTATATTTCACGGGTCGCCATAGACCCATAACAAAATGGCTCTGTCCAAAGAGATAGATTGTCGACTTTGCTAAGATGCAGACGAGACTTCCAGTCACATTCTCTGTGATTACCCAGGCTTGATCTGGGCCAGGAGATGGTCACTGGGTCAAGAACTACTCTCCCGTTTTGATATTAGGTTAGGGTCGGTTAGGGTCTGTTGCAGAACAAAAGATCAACCATGGTCGCAGTGCTCTGCTCCGTTTGGAGCTGTTACCTCATTTATTCCCATTCCTATACATACGCACATATACATCTTAAAAGTAAAAGGTTATTAATACTTTTTGATATCAAAAACGAAAGTAATACTTACTTTTAATATCTTTTTCACATTCATTTTCCACTTTATGTTTTTGCCGCTTTGGTTCCGTTTTTATTTAGTAGTAGTTTTTAAGTAGCAACTCATAAACAATGTGCAATGGTGAATACGTTACATTAGAAAGAACATAAGAATGACATTTGCTCTATCTTTGTAGCAATGTAGGCATCATATCTACTATTCTAGATATGAATACCTCTAGCGAGGTAAGGCGAGTGCACAATTTGTTAGTTCTTATTCATGAAATGTCTATCACATATCTTGCAAAAAGGATCGTAATAGAGATATGCCAAATAATTAAATAGTCATCTTTGCCATCATTGTGAAGCAAAACAAGACGAGTAATTTTGCCTTATAGTTAATTTTCCATACTTTCTTTAACAAATATATTTATTATCGATAAATTAAAATAATTTATTATGTTGATAAATTAACATAATTTCAGAATTTTTAATAGTTACTTTTTTCTATTTAAGATAACTTTCAAAAGTGATATTTAAACTTTTTCTAATCCTAACTTTTCAACAAGATCTTGTTATATCAACTAACACCGAAATTAACAGACGTAAGCTTTAACATAACCAATAATAAATAGTTACACTGTTAGTAACATAGTATTTCATCATATAGTCTGTCTACAGTTTTTCTTATATTTAACTAAACTTTTTCTAATCCTAACTTTTCAACAAGATCTTGTGATATCAGCTAACAACGAAATTAACAGACGTAAACTTTAACATAACCGGTAGTAAATAGTTACACTATTAGTAACATAGTATTTCATCATAAAGTCAATCTACACTTTTTCGTATATTTAACTATACTTTTTCTAATCCTAACTTTTCAACAAGATCTTGTAATATCAGCTATTAACGAACTTAACAGACGTAAGCTTTAACATAACCAGTAATAAATAGTTACTCTGTTAGTAACATAACATTTAATCATAAAGTCAATCTACACTTTTTCGTGTGCTTAGCAACTTTGTTCAATATCTATTTTGACATTTATGATAATAAAGATACAATTTCTTAGTTATGGTTAAAAAATTGCAATATTTATTTTGTCACGTATATCGCAAATTAATTGTTCGGCTTATCACAAACTACCTAACGAAATATATAAAAAAACTCATATGTCAAATTACGAAATGCTAGCAAAAAATTGCAATAAACTAGTGAATAATGACTGTGATGTAAATAGAACAGACGGCGATTCCACTTGATAAGATAAAATCATTACAAAATTATTTTTTTTTGAGAAAAAGTAAATAATAGCAATAGCAGAATTTGACACAAAAGCAAAAAAAAAATATGTATATAACCATAAAAATATAAGAATAAATTTTATGAATAGAAAATTATAATATCAACTGTATCTGTCTGTTAATTAATGAAAGCACATTTTAAATGAAATTCAGATTGACTTTTTATTAATGAAAAAATTTTAAGGTCTTAAGATAGAGTAAAATTATGTGTTAAAGATTTTATATATTTGAATTGAAAGTGCAAATACATACAAATAAAATTTAATATCATAATACGGGTAATTACAATTCAATTATGTATTAATCATTTGGTATTCATTATATTTTTAAAACAAACAATTTATTTCATATTGTTTTATAGGTTAAGTGAATACGTATATTTTTTTAATTATTTAATAATAATATTTTTCGCACATCATATGCATAAATATTTTAACAAGGAAATTAAGAATTTTTATTATTTATAATTGCAAAATTCGAGCAAGAAACTTTGCCCAACCGAAGCGAACAATTAACATTTTCACGTACTCACGCATACTGACGCATACCGGTACTAGCACAGTTTGATGTATACGAGCTTAAACGCCATTAAAAAGCAGTAGCCGTGGCTTTATAACCGCTAAAAACAGACAAACTTTTGTTTATATGCATGCAAAAAAGTCTTGACAACCTGAAAGAAGCAGCGGCGAAAATGAATTTCAATTTTATT